TCAGAGATTTGGAGCAAGAAGTGGTGACAGAGAAGGAAATAAAAAGGTTCTCCCCTTGGGAGGGGAGGGCTTCAGCCTCAGGGTCCTTCTCACCACTAACCCCACCTCTACTCTCTTGTCTGGAGGGGGACCTGGAGGATTTTCACTTTTGTCCTAGCAGCATCCCCAGAATAGCTGATTGCAATGCCTGTATCAGTAGCCAAGGACAGACTTTATGAAGATTTAAGACTCTACAAATAGCCTAGCAGAAAAAAAAAGTCCACCCTGCCTAAGGGGAACATCTTGAGAACTCTAGCACAAGGACTTCCAGGAACTGTGAGTTACCCTTTTGCCAACTGTGTTTGAGTCTACTCTATATGTTCTTGGGAGAGTATGTATATAGGAGAGTGTTCATTGACTTTAGAGGGCTTTTCAAAAAACCAATTATAGAGACATAACAAAACACCCCTTCCGAAAACCTAATTAAGTCTGGCTGACTGATACCAACTGAAAGTCATAGCTAGAAACACACTGATGGGGGCTCATGAGCTATATAACATTAGAGAAAAATACCCCTAATGCTTCAGGGCTACCCCTAGACTTTGAGAGGTTAAGAAGTAGCCACTTGAGCTCTTTTAACCCTAACTGCTAGTGTGAATAGGGATTGCAATAATAGTTTCAGAGTATGTGCTACATGATTGTAGGCCTAGAGCTGGAAATGACCCTCTAAGGCGATCTAATCTAACCCTTTCATTCTGCATATGAAGAGAATGAGGTTGAGTGATTTGTCTGAGGCCACATAGCTATCGTTTTTTTTTTCTTTGTGATCCCATTTTGGGTCCTTTTTGGCAGAGATAGGGGAGTGGTTTGCCATTTCCTTCTCCACTTCATTTTACAGATAAGGAAACTGAGGCAAATAGGGTTAAATTATTTGCCCAAGGTCACGCAGCCAATAAATGTCTGAGGTCAGGTTTGAACTCAGAAATGTGAGTCTTCCTGACTCCAGGTCCAGCACTCTATCCACTGCATCACCTAGCTGCGCCAAGTGGCAAATATATTCTGACTCCAAATCCAGTTTTCTTTCAATGTTATCAGACTGCCTCCTATTTGTACCCCTTTCTCACAGAGGTTGTAGGGAAAGTGGGTTGTAAACTGGAAATCATGTTATAACTGAGCTGTTACCCTGATAGCTGTGCTGTCCAAGAAGGTGCCATTCACTGGAATGAAGAGACCTGGGTTCTAGTCCTGGCTGCATCATCTGGACCTTCATCTAGACTAGCTGGCTTTGGTGGCCCTGGGCAAATTGCTTTGTGTCTGAGATTGTTTCTTCATCTGCAAAATGGACACAATAATACTATGGATCCTACAGCGGAGATAGAAAAGCATTTAACAAACTTGAAAATATTATATAAATGTGAACTTTTATTACTAATATTGTTGAAACATTTTTCAGTGATTGAAGCCAGACCTATGATTTCCTTGATATAGGGAACTCCCACTGAGAAAATCCTTTCACCGATACGGATTAGTGACTATTTTTCAACTTTAGCCACTGAATGTTTCTGACTTACTCAAGGTCACATAGCCAGTATGTGGCCAAGGTGAGACTTGAGCCCAGACCTTCTTGACTCTGGGGTCAGCTCCATACTCTCTTACCCTCCTATTGCCTATGGAGTAAAACTTAAATCCAAGGCCCTCCCCAATCGGTTCCCTCTTTGTTTTCAGCCTTGCCTCATACTACATCCTCTGTGCTCCAGCCAATGGTAGCTATTATCTGCCATTTCCTAAACAAGTCCTGCGTTTATCACCTCCACCTGCCTGCCTTTCCTCATAATGTTCTTTATGCTGGGACTGCCCTCCTCTTTCCCTCACTGCCTGATGGATTCTCTAAGATCTCTTTCAACTCTAACTCTATGATACTGTGATCTCTTTGCCTCTGTCTGTCTTCCCCTCTCTCCATCTTGGACTCTGTCTTTTTTTCTTTGCACATCCCTGTCTCTAAAGTTCTGTCTATTTCTCCTTCATCTTCTCTCTTTCCCTCTCCTTCTCCATGCGTATTTCTTTTCCTTTCTCTCTCTTTGTATCTCTTTGTCTCCTCTTTCTGTCTCACTTTTTTGTGTCTGTCTCTGTCTCTTTCCCTCTCTCTGTGCATGTCTCTCTCATCATCTCTGTCTCTCTCTCTTTGTCTCTCTCCCTTCCTCTCTCTATTTCCCTGTCTCTGTCTCTTTGTCTTTGTCCATCTGTCCTCCTCCTCCCCACACTTAGACATACCCATCACCACCATCACAACCGGCCACCACCAGATGGCAGCAGACACACCCCTGCGGTCTCTCTCATCCTTCTCTTCCCTTTGCCTGGGAGCTTGGACCTACCCATCAAAACTTTGAAGTCCCTCTGCAGTCACAGAATGGCCTCCAAGGGTCAAAGTATGTTTTCTGGTTTGGTTGGGGGGGGGGGATGTTTCCCAGACCCCAGACCCTGGGAGCCCAACTTGGCTTCTCCAGCCTGGTAGGTAATGGTGGAATTCATCATGGTAGCCTCCTCCATTGGCTTCACAATTTACAAAGCACTTTATGGACATCACATGACAACAGCCCTATGAGGTCAGCTCCCCAGGACCTCTTATTCCCATTAACTTAAGGAGGACATTCCACTGAGGCTGAGAGGGGAACAGACTTTCCCAGAGTTACATAGCTAGTGAATGGTTGATGTGGAATTTGAACTCAGGCCTTTCCTGACTATAAGCTTTGCTCTTATGACTCCCATAATCCAAGAGCACTCTAGCGGTGGAGCCAGAATTTGGGTTTCACTCCCTGCTCTATTACTACCTTTGGGTGAGTCACTTCCCTTCCCGGGGTCTCAGTTTCCGCTTCTGTAAAACAAAAGAGTTGGACTTGGAAATCTCTAAGCTTCCACCCAGGGCTAAGATCTCTGCTCCCCTGCAGCTCAAGACGGGCAGAACCTTCTCATTTAAAACGGTATTTTTAGCTGCCTGTATTTCTCCCCGCCCTCGCCCCTAATCCTGGAGCGCTCAGGGACACCTCCCCCCACCCCCCACTTGTGCCCAGGGAAGCTTGGCGGGAGGCGAGGTGAAGACAGTGAGGTGAGGACAGCGGGCTTGGTGGTTTGGCACAATGGCTGTTATGGAGCCTGGGCAGGTGCAGAGGGAGAAAGGGCTTTGGGGCAGGGGGAGCAGCTCCAGATTCTGGACCCAACAGGGGGCTGAAGGGAGGGGGCCTTCAAACTGTCGGCCCCATGGCCCTGATCTTCAGGGGCCCCCCGGATACATGGGGGGGGGGACGGGGGCCCGGTCCCCCCCCCCCCCCCCCCGCCCAGCTGCTTGCTGCTGCCAACAGTGGGCTGAGTTGGGGCAGGCAGAGAGGATAGGAGAGGGGAGGGGAAGAGGACAGCCCAACCAGGACCTACAAGCTAAATCTTGGGGGTGGGGAGCTTGAGGGAGAAGGCAGAAGCTGGGCAGGGGGCCTGGCTGAGGTGGTGATAGATGCAGCTGTTGGAGGTGGGAAAACTGGGCCTCTTCTGTCTGGCTTCCACTCTCCTACTCCCCCTTTCCTCCTCTCCTTTCCCCTGTCCTCTCCTCACCTCTCTTCTCCACTCTCCTCTCACCTCCCCTCCCCTCTTTTCCCCTTCCCCCCTCCCCTCTCCTCTCCTCCCCTCTCCTCTCTCCTCCCCTCCCCTCTTTTCCCCTTCCCCCTCCCCTCCTCTCCTCCTCTGTCCTCTCCTCCCCTCTCCTCTCCCCTCCCCTCCCCTCCCCTCTTTTCCCCTTCCCCCTCCCCTCTCCTCCCCTCTTCTCTCTTTTCCTCCTTTCCTCTCCTCTTCCTCCTTCTTACCTCGTTTTGCCTTCTGTCCCCTCCCTCCTCCTCTCCTCTTCTCTCCCCTTCCTTCTCCTCTCCCTTCTTCTCCTTTCTCCTCTTGCCTCCTCTCTTCTCTACTTTCCTCTTTACCCCCAAACACCCAACTTAGAATAGATCATATGATCCAGAATAAGAATGGGCCTTAGCTCTCATCTAATCCAACTCCATCATTTTTACAGTTGGGGAAACTGAGCTGAAGAGAAGGGAAGTGGCTGGGCCAAGGGCACACAAATGTGGCATTGCTAGAGCACTAGCTTCAGAGTCAAAGCACAGCTGAGTTCTGAACCCAAATGCCTTGATTCCAAGGCAGCTCTTTCTCTATTCCTCTGTGACGTCCAGAGGGCACTCAGAGCCTGCCTGGGGCACAGGGAGGTGTCTGCACTGGATGGGACCATATTTTAATGAGGGGGGCCATAAGCACTGAATGCAGCTCCCTGGCATCGTTTGTAAAGGGGCACTGAAGGCCAGTCCCAGAGAGGCAGGAGTCCCTCCATATATTCTGAACAGTGATAGTCTCTTTGGAGGAAAGTAGATTCCCAAAGAAAGGGAGGCTGGAAGGGAGGCTGTTCATTGGAGGGAGGAGCCCTATGGGGCTTAGAAGATCCAGCTAGTTACTTGATGTCTTCCCTGGTGGTGAGCCCGTGAAGCTGCACCTTAAGCTCCTGGAGCACAGAGGCAATCTTCCTTATCTCTGTAATGAGCACCCATGGGACCCCAGACCTACAGCTGGAAGGGACCTCAGAATCCAACCCCATCATTTTACAGATGCGGAAACTGAGGCTCAGAAAAGTGCAGACATACAGGCAATGGAGGCAGCATTTCAATCCGGGCTCTACCATGCCAAATGAAGGGCTCTTTATTCCGTAACAGGCGACTAAAAACGGACTTATCCTTAATCTTTTTGGAGTTTTAATACCCCTCAATTCATGTGGTTACAAAATCCCACTGAGGTGGGGGAGGGGAAGAGAGAGAGAGAGAGACACACACACACAGAGAGAGGAGGAGGAGGAGGAGGAGGAGGAGGAGGAGGAGGAGGAGGAGGA